AAAAAAAAATGTTTCATGTTTTATTGCAAAATCTGAAAGTCGAAAAAACGTTCGCCTTTTTTAGCTTTTCTAAATACCTAAGGGTGGCTTTTAGGAAGAATGATTTCTGAAAATTGAAGCTTGATTTTGTGTTTGTTCATCCGTATATAATATTAAGTCGTAACAACAATTTATTGAGATAAATTTTCATACAATCTGCCTCAGATTGTCCTGTTGGGATCAGAAAAAAAGCATGTACCGTCGGAAAAGTGTGATAAGATCATTGAAATATTTGATTTTTGTGTTCTTCTATAGGTTTGTTGTAGATGGAGTTTATGCATGTTCTTTGACTGAGTTCGGTCTGCTATAATATGGTATAAGGGAGTTCAACATTATAATTGTTTTTCGAGTAGTCTCAATGAAATATGATAACATTTGTTGGCAATATCCACATTTATTTGAAATAGACAAACTATTCAATTTCTATCAAGTGGCCCTTAAAATAAAGGAGAACGAACCCAAATGGATCTGCTTCATTCTGTTGACTGATGTAGATGTAGATGAAGTGTGTGAAATATCTTCATTTTTATCAGTAATTAGAAATTGTAATCACTATCCTATCATCATAAACTATAACGTTCCACTATTTTTCGGATAGAAACAAGAAAACTGACCTATTTTTTATTGATTAACAGGTGAAAGGATATGGCTAGTGTTCAAGATATCTCTGTTTCAGCTTCTATCAATCTTCTATCTGCATTGGCATTTCTTTTGGCCTTTGCATTTTTACGGCTTCAACCATTCAATGATAGAGTGTACTTTCCAAAATGGTATCTGAAGGGTATAAGAGCAAGCCCTAGGAATTCTGGACCTTCAGTGACGAAATTTGTCAATTTGGACTTCAGAACGTATTTGAAATTCTGGAATTGGATGCCTGCAGCATTAAGAATGCCAGAACCGGAGCTCATAGATCATGCAGGGCTCGATTCTGCTGTGTACATTAGGATTTACCTTCTAGGGTGAGTTCTTAAGGTTCGAGCTCATGCTTCTGTAGTATCATACTAAAATTGTGGTGTCATCAAATCCTCAAGCATAGCACTTTTATGACTTGTTTGGCAGTGACCACCAGATATTACTGCACAGTATAAAGGGAAAAAATGAAGAAGTTATTAGCTTATTCATTATAATGTTCAGTCTGCATAGAAACATGCACTTAAAGTTTGGAACCCGCAAATTAAACAATAGTACTCTTGAGTTTTCCTAGTACTTGTAGACAACTCTAATCATGATTTCCAATGCAGGTTGAAAATCTTTGTCCCTATAGCTATTCTCGCTTTTGCGGTATTGGTTCCTGTCAATTGGACTGGGAAAACATTAGATAACATCAAGGATTTAACGTACAGTGACATTGATAAGCTTTCAATATCTAATGTTCCTTCAGGATCAAAAAGGCGAGTACTGGATTCATTTTGCTCTTCTTATTCATAATTTTTTAAAGTGGGATAATGGTTTCTATACTTAATTTAAAGTAGTCTGTTACACATGTTCTAGATACATTTATCATATATTATTGCAAAACATGCCCTTATTGTGTTTTTTTTTTTTTTTAAATTGGGATAATTGTTTCTGCTTAGACCTTAAAGTTGATAGTCTACTTACATCTCATATTAAAGGAAAAAAATGCTTATGGAAGATAATAATTTTTTTGTGTTTTTTGACCGTAACAATACCTCCTAGTAAACTGACTAATTCATGTAAGTTCATGTACAGTGAGCATACAGAGTCTGGAAACTGAATAATTTTAAATTATTGTTGTGTACTAAGTAGTAAATGATCCAGCAGCATTCTTATGAAGAAATTTCTAATTGTTGAAGATAATCTAAATAAATAGAAACTTTCTCTCCCAAATGGCTTAAACTGTTATATGGTTCCCTAAAGACTGAGTTTAAATCTTGCGGCCATCTGTTTATATAAATTATCTACGAGTCAAGCGTTTGATTGAAAGTATACCTGTCTTATTAAATCATGAGAAATACAGCAGCCTGTTTAGCAA